AAGTAATGTTTTAGGGATCAATTTAGACAAGCTTTGGAACAAAATGACAAGAATTCAATCGTTTTGGGATGCTTGTTTTTAGTTTTGTCGAATATGGTGGATCCTACCTTGTTTTTGTGCACATGTTAACATGCGAAAAATGAGTATTACACTTTAGGTAGCGAAGTTCTTGAAAATTGAATGTTAATCCTTAAAAAGTCCTTGAAAAATCCTTGGATTCTTTATGAAAAAATCTGTATCCATGTTACTGGTATTATACACAGGAAGCCCAATTGAGAGACTGGGCACTAGTATTGACAAAATAGCGGCTTGTGAAATTGTAAACACGAGTTTCTTCGTACAAGCATCAAAGTACAAGCTCATGGCAAGTGCTTTAAAATAAAAAAACATGAAAAAATATATATATATTTATATTTTAGGGTGGTCCACGAAAATTGGTCCATGGATAGGTCCACGATGGTGGTCCATGGACCCCCGGTCCATGTTTTGTACCGACCCGCTTAAGTTACTTCATTCATTAAACTTTTACGGTCTATCGTTGTTCTTTTGATGAAAATTACAATAAATTTGTTCACTTTTTATCGATGGAGTTACTTACCCTTAATTGCTCGGTGTGTTCTTGGCTTGTTTCTTATCCATGTCGCAGTTTTGTGATCACAGAGATTTTAACATAAGCTTTCGTTACAACACAGTGAACGCAGTGTCCTCTGTCAAACGAACTATGAAACCTCGCCTTTATTCGGCAGTAGGAAAAATGACGTCACTGCTTGAATCGGTAGGAATTGTACGATTCGTACACACCATATATGGAAGTGCGCGGAGAGAAAATAATTATTTTTTTGTTCTCGACTTACGTCCGCTAATATGTATTATTTTCATTGTTTTTGCGTGATTCATTGACCTATTGTAAAGTAACGTAACGTTGTCACGGGTTTATCTTTAGGCTCGTCTTCGTAACGCTCTCATCGCCTATTATATGGATGGGAAATGACTGAAAAAGACACGATCCATCTCCATGTGCTTTTAACTGAACGTACTTGTGAAGCTCGAKAGCTGGACACAAAACAATCTACTTCAAAATTCTTGATATTTGTCTCGGTATAGTTGATTTCACCTAAAATCTTCTTTGATTCATGACAACATTCTTTAAAACAAAGCCAATCGACATCTACAGCTGCTTCTAAACGAGTAAGCTTTGTCCGCTATCTTGGATTTTAGCATTATTCGCTAGGCACAATAACTCTGTGACGTCATTACAATAACAGAAACGAGGAACGCCTGGGGACTAGGGTTGCTGAGGGACAGCTACCCAGAGACTGGACTAAGGGACAGCGTATTCTGTTAGTCGATTCAATCTCGTACCCAGAACCCGCGTTATTATAGACTTCTAGACCTCTTGTTACGGAGAGCCATTTCGAAATTATTCCAAAGTGAATCCAAAATGTGTTTCACACTATTATTCGTTTTCAAATTAATGTTTTACCTCGATACATTGACGTACATTCTTGCTTTTTTATTCTTGATTTATAAAGTCAGTAAAGTAAGAAATTCTGATAAACAAACTCAAGAAATGCATTAATTGAAATGCTGTTACATTTAGCCGAGACGAACTGTCGCCAGCTGACCGTCGCGGTCGAAAAACATTCCAAAATTTTCTATGGTCAGGTCATATCCTAATTTACTTTGTCGAGGGTAGATTACTTGAGACACCCCATATGAATGCTCCTGTTTTGACTTTAAATAAAAGCGGCATTTTAGAAACGAGTGATGTACACTGGAGACCACTGCATTCGTTTCGTAACTATGTAACCAAGTTCACAAAATAAATTATATATGTCGATGTATAAATTAAATATATATTTATAGATTAAGTATAATTCATAGATTAAATACTGTCTGATGAGTGCGTAGCACGAACTTCGGAGTCACAGCAAATCTTGTCTCTTTGATATTATATATATGTGAATGTACAGCCTTTTGCACAAATTATGAGACATTTTTATATATATAAATATACCTAACCAAATATCAAAAACACCCCAGAAATTATGGTATATCTCTATTATATTTTGTCATGATTGCCTAGCATCAGGTTGTTACAGACAAAATATCAGCGACGGTATCCCATAATTTCTTGGGTGTTTTTGATATTTGGTTAGGTATATTTATATATATAAAAATGTCTCATAATTTGTGCAAAAGGCTGTATATA